AAGTGTCCAAGGTCAAGCGTTGTACCAGGACCTCGCGACCCAAACAGGAGGACAAGTACTGGAAACTAGTAAGGCTGCAGTAGCTGATATTGTCAAGGTTATCGATCCTGTAGGTTTCTCAAACTCATCTGCAGATTTGAAAGAAGTTGGATTGCTGAGCGTTGAGGAATCTCGAGCGGAGTCCTTTAGTGGTGTCATTTACTTTGTGGATATTGACAGTACGCTGGAAAGTTTGGTCCTCATACTCACTGCGGAAAGTTCACCTACATTACAAATCACGAGTTCTCAAGGTAAACGAGAGAGAAAAGTTAAATAGGCAGCGTCACTGCTTGTTTGCATAATTTCAAGTTAAAAAAATACCACCCACTTTATAAAAGCCAAGTAAATAATTCTTGACAACTGATAGGAACCCATCAGTAAGTTAGTATAAATAATTAAGAAAAAAAGAAGATTGAAAACTTGGAAACGGGGCCTTGCTGCTAACCTTTGTGTTAGTAGGGACAGCTTGCTTAATAGACTGCTTAAGTTTCTTCTTCTCTTATGTCGCGAAGTCAAGAAACCATAATGCTTGCAACTCTCCAGAGCTGGGAAGTGAATAGCAAACACTATTCCGAGTTAGAGAAGCCAATCCGAATGCGCTAAAAGTATCTATCCACTGGTTTGGTATATATTAATTCATATTACCCTCACACGCCACCCAGCTTCAACCGAATCTCGATTGTTTCACAGGAAACTCAAACATGCAAGAAAAGGACATAACAAGTTCCAGTAAACTCTATATAAAAGAAGTTACTAACTTGGTCAGCGGTTCACTGAAACTGACAGTTTCCTGTACTGGTCCGTACACTCTGCAAGTAACTGGGTCCAGTCCTATCGACTTTACATACCAGCTTTTGGACGTGGAGGACATGGAACGAGGGACCACCAGGCGGGTTGTTGGAAATCCCTTGAGAGGTAAAGTAATATGCTGACTAGTTAATGACTCTATTTCCCGTTCAACAAATTACGGATTGGTGACTGAGCTAAAATCCTTTCGTGTTGGCGTTGTCTACAATCTTAGAAGGCAATTAGTGCAGTTACAGTGATTCAACGGATGCAGAGAATAATAGTAACGGAGAGACTGAACGAGTGAAGAAGTGAAGGAATGAAGGAATGAAGGAATGAAGGAATGAAGGAATGAAGGAATGAAGGAATGAAGGAATGAAGGAATGAAGGAATGAAGGAATGAAGGAATGAAGGAATGAAGGAATGAAGGAATGAAGGAATGAAGGAATGAAGAAATGAACGAATGACCGAATGAACACTAGCATTTGTCAGAAATAGAACTAGCTCTATTACGACAAGAGAAAAAAATACAGTAAAACTGATGATATGCTAGCTAACTTCCCCATAATCTTATTTTCTTAACTCATTGCAGGACAAATGCTGTTGCTCACGTTGGACTTCGTTGGCCAAGATATTGACGCAATCAGCAATCTGACTCTTGTTGGCGTTGACGGAACAGAGCTCGAAACCTTCAACATAACTCAAGGTGAAGGGTTTTACCAAGATTCCTACTACGTCACGTTTATTCCTTCCCCAGATAGCTTCCGACTCAAAGTTACAGGATTTGACACGAGTGGAGCTCGCTTTCAGCGCCTTAAACCAACTTTATTCACACTTGGGGACGTAAAGCTTTCCCAAAACGTCGACATCCGCAACAACTCAAACGCCATCTTCCCAGGAGAAACTTTGGAGTTGGAAATCAAAGTTGAAAACTCTGGGGATACGCAGACGTTATATTTCAAAGCATCTGATGATCTGAGCTACTTTAACAGCATAAATCCGGATCGAAGCACCTTGGGAAAGAATGACTCGGTTACTCTACGGGTGACCCTGCTTGCTCCTAGTCACGCAACGTATGGCGTGACAAGCACCGTTACGGTATTCGCATCTCAGAATTCTGACTTCACCCAAGTTGTTAATTTCTTGGTTTTGTTTGTTACTGTGGCGTCGAAGGTGAGTAACTGAACTGGAACGGAACAGAAAAATAAGAGAAAGGGAAAAACCCTTTCAAAACAATCTTTAATAGCCAAATCGCTAAAAACTATACTTCAATTTCACGTTCTATTAAATGCAACTATACAGCGCGAGAGACAGTCATGGAGTCTTGAGAGAGAGGGGGGGAGGTACTGCCATATATGGGCTATATAGGTACGTGCCGCTGTGAAGGGTATGGTTTTCAAGCAATTTACTCTAGCATAGGGTATATAAATCAGAGCGTTTGGGTCTAGAATAGGGTATCATTTTTCACGAAACTGACCAGTTGGTTGAAGGAATTGAAATATAATCAAAAATATAAAAAAATGAACGAAATCAGCAAGTTTAAATTTTTGCGACTCAGCCTCAACAGCGGCGATAGATGACCACAGCATAAAACACTACTGGATATTATCAACTGTCAAAAATCGGGATTCAGACGGAAATCGGTGGTTTTGATGCTGGTTACTCTAGTATAGGGTAGCAAAAATTCAGCTGAACTAGCTCTGGTATAGGCTAAGGGTTCCAGGGTCCCAGCGGCACATCCCCACCCAGAAATTCCTACAGTACCCCCCTTGGGGGGAATAGGGCGGTGGAAATCTTGAAGGTCAATGCATTTCTGTGGCTATAAAATTTACCCCCAACAAATAGTTCATGGTAGAGTCTCGGTCGAACTTTCATGTGAAAAGATGGGAATGCTCGTGGGAAAATTTGAATTAAGCCAGTAAGAGAGACCAATCTGGCTCCAGCTTTAATATGCCCCTAAAAGATATCACTTTAAAACAGACGGACAGCGTTTTTTGTCATTTCATCGAGTGCAAACCTAAAAGATACGTTCACAACTGAAAATAGAGCGTTTCGTTCCTTCCCCCAAGTGAGATCTACCTCCTAAGCGAGGCGACGAGCATCCCTGACCTTTTCATATGGAAGTCCCCCGGGGTGGGATCGAATTCCTATCGACGTACCGCTAAAAAAGGATGATGATGTAGACAGATAGACAGACTCGCTCTAAATGAGGTAAAGATGTAGCGTGCCATGGCGGCAAAAGTAATAAACGAGTAAAATACGCGGCGAGCTTTCCCGTGATGCGCAAAACGTGTGCGCGCTAACGAAAAAAACCATCATCGTTAATTGTTCTGAATGTAAACCATGTTTGAAATCAACAGGACCCAGATCTCTCTCCTCCATCGTGCAACGTGACAAGCCAGGCTGGAACATGCACAGGAGTGTACGGTAGACCAAAGTGTGTGACAAGCACGTGGTTTGCACATGTCACCTTCAGTGACATCGGAGAAGGACTCCTGTCAATTACTTCACGAGAAAATCGTAATGGAACTCTCACAGGTAAAAGGAAACAGTTTCTAGCGGCGAGGGGAAGGGGAAATTTACGCCCATTTGTATCTTTTACTTCCGGTTCTCGCCCCTCCTTTAGTGAACTACCTGCGACTATTCTTGCTTCGTTAGTTTCAAAATATTCTGTAATGTTTCAACTTTTCCCTCCTTGCCTTCCGTTCGCTCTTTTATAGCCTTCCATAGACTTCCCTTCGTTTTTGACTTTCTGATACCCAAACTAATTTTGCAGCGTTTGGATCGACTTTTGTCACTTCGTCGCTATCTGACGTAGAATTTAAAGTTTATATTTGTAATAAGATAAATAGTGAGAGAACCTTTAAGTGATGACCTGAACTGTTCTCTATTGCTGGCCTCTATTAATATTCCATCTGTTCTTGTGTCTCTTTCAGTTGGAGCTTTCAACAAAGGTGCGGTCAATACGTCAGTCCAAGCATCATTTAAATCCAACTGTTGCCATCCTAAAGTTATTTTCGTCGGTCTCGACCGTGTAGGAAACATGGGAACTTGCTCTGTGGGCCTTGTCCCCGATATCGTGTCCTTTGGTGCCACACCGAATACCACAGTTGTGTCCCTCCGTGGTGGAGAAACCACCAAGGTTCCTTTTACACTCACCAACCTCGGCTCCAAAGGGTCGTTCTCGTTCCGCGTAACTAAAACGTCTTCACTCATCTGTTACGTTATTCCCTTTAGCCTCGCTCTGGATGCCAACGCCAATGCCGCTGGTCACGTGGTTATTGCGTCACGCGATGACAACAGACAGCTTGAGAAGTTGACGGTGACAGCCGTAGCGCAGTCAGATACTGTAAATGTCAAGGAGGTTACTCTATTTGATATCGAGGTGTCTGTTTTGTCCGATACACAACCTACTACACCAGCTCTGAAGCAAATACGTCTTGAAGCTGCTGCACCTAACAATCATCAGTCTATAAAACCAGGAGCACGTTTAGAGTTGAACTTTACAGTGACGAACTTGGCAGCCATTGAAAACTTCACTTTTAACGTGAGTTTCTTGTTTAGAATGTTGGTTCTTCTGGGTACTCTTTAGTTGCTTGGCCTCAATATAAAATTATTCATCTCTACAAATGGCTTGGAATGAAAACGCCCTGATCAAGCCGCCATTTTTACTAAAAATCAAATGAGTCCCCAAAACGTAGATAAACATTAATTAATCTTACCCAGATCCTCTAATAGTAATGATAAATACTTTATTTATACTGCAAAAAATAGATCAGCTGAATTTATATATAAAGAGAGCTTGTATAAACCTATGTGCAGTTGATAAAACTGATTTCAAATTAGTGTTAGCATTAAAAAAGGTAAACACTAAAAGGGAAGATTTGGTTACAGCAACAACAACTATTAACTTCTCACTTCTCGGGTGAGAACATCTTGTAAAATCTGTTTTGATCACGAACCTGATTGGTTCTTGTAAATTGCTCAATCCCAGTCCCGCGATGTATCGTTTTGAGCGCAGATTTATTTTAACTGGAGTCGAAAGTTCTCGTGTACAGAGTTTGTTCAAATCAAGAGGGTATTTCAAAGGAATGCCTTTGCCAAGGCTTTAATAATTCTGGCGCCCGTTGCTCATGGAAGGCTTATCACAACGAATGCATGTTAAAATGTTTCCGTTATCGCGTCAATTTCTCATGAAATGTTGAGTAACGTTTGAAAGCAGCCATTTAACTTTCCATTTTGTACCTTTCTTCAGGTACTCTCTAATCAATCTTCAATTACTGGTAGAGTTCAACCATCTTCAGTCTCTCTCGAAACAAAACAAACCACACCCTGCCTACTAATCCTAACTTCTCAAGGAGACGCCTCTCCCGGCACTGTCACGCAAGTCAATGTCACGGCAACGCCTGCGTCACACAACGCGGACATCAAGCAGTTGACTGTCTTCTCTTTGACAGTAACTACTGATCGTAAACCTCCGGTTAAAAACGATGATTTGGAAAACGAAGACTTAGACAAGGAAAACAAGACAGAGAAGTGGCAACTTGGTTTGATCATCGGTGCGGTCACTGTTTCAATCTTTCTTGTTACCGTTTTAGTGATTTGCGGAGTGAATCGTGATTCCAAGAAGCGGGCGATTATACGAATGAAAAGCAATCACGGAGCTATAAACCAGCCTCAGCGCGATAACTTCGACGGTGTGATCTTTAATGACTACGCTTGAGACAATTAAGATTTGTTTTTAACGTAAAAAGGCACTCTTCCATATTTTAACAAAGTTCTATTGCACTGAGAACTCGTTTTATCACAAGGATGTGTCGTGATCCAGGCAAGCCCGGTATCTAACCCTTCATTGCCATTTACAGAAGTGCACTGCGATGACGCCACCGGCTAAGATAGAGCTGAAGCCCAGTGGAAACGCCTAGAAACATAGGTGTGAAATAAAAGAAACAAATGGTTGTTCTCGGCATGTAAGCGTTTACCATCATCAGTTACAGGCTAATGCTAACTTGGTAGACAAAGAATCGTGGAAATCTGCTCTCATTTTACTTTTTTATTTAGCTCTAATCACTTTAACAGGAAATGTTAGGGAATGATTGCTGGAGGAGGCTTTCCCTTGATAGTACTTATAAATTCTCTTCGAACAATGAGAAAGGGCAAAATACATTACACGCTTTTTCCAACTATGATTAATATCCAAGTTCTCCTCACGGTATTAACACACTGTCAAGTACTAGGTGATGAGAATAATGAAGATCATCAACTACATGATTGGATATTGTATTGATGGACCACCGAATTCTCGGAACTAGCACCAAAGGAATATAAGGTATTCAGTATGGAGAATTTCTGTTTCGATCCAGGTACTGAAAGGGCCTATGTAATAAAGCATTACTACGTACGAGTTCGGGAGTCTTATCACATCAGAGCACACAACGCTGTATCGACATTATATAAACGATACAATTGCGTTTTTTTCACTCTCTTTATTGTTATAAACGATTTATCTTGATATCATTATTATCTATATTTGTAGAGTCATTGTAACATGACGCGTAAAGCTAATAGCTATAGTGGAAGATAATCCCTTCTTTAGATGGGGAACATTTTTTCACACGTTACATGGGAATCCGCCAAATGTAAAATGTTCGCATACATTTGGATAGGTATTTTTTTCGTTTCAAACGAAGATGCTACTCTTCTTCCTCAAGTGTTATTCAATCGTGTGTAATAAATCAACAATACTGTGTAGTAAATATGTGCGGGATTAAATTGTTTTTGTCACTTTTTGTAGGTTAAAATACATTACTACTATAAAAACATCAGTATAATCGCGAATTTACTTCTTCCATATTCCATTCTCGTAGTCATCAAGTAAATTATCAATCTCAGACTGTACTTTCTATGAATGGACTCTCTGGCTTTCGAGAAGATTCTGAAGAGTCCTTGAGAACGAGATCTACTTCTACTACTCACGGTGGACTGCGTTCTAAAATTCTCCTCATACATGAGAAATCAAATCATATATTGGAGACAACGATTTCCAAAGCTATATTAGTTTTCCACACTGAAGACTGAGAATAAAACAAGCAATTGATCATCTCCAGATCTGCTTGTGCATTCCGGCTGCTACTAAATTAAGGCTTTGAAAGGTTTTTCAAAAGTTTCTGCAATGCGTACAAATGCATGCTCAATAGGCTGTCAGGAGGCATATAGACCATTGTGCTTGTTCGTCAACGCAGGAAGCGTGAGCTCACAAGAAGCAATCATTACAATCACTAAACCATTTACCTGAATTACAAACTCTTCCTAAATCTTTCCTGTTAAGCCTTTTTGCCGTGCCATGTCTGACGACACAGAACCAATGGCGGCCTGTGTTAACGACGAGCAAATTTAACTCGTTAGATCACAGATGACGTCTAAATGTGGTAAGAACAGAGAAATGTTGACGTCTTCTGTGACGTCTTCTAAACAGACGCAGGGCAACTTGGAATCTATTTGTTTTATATAAAAATAGCAATAATAATAATAAAAAAAGGAAAAAAAATATGGTCATGACTTCGTCTACACGCCCGTCCTCCTATAGATCCTAAGTACGAACCAATCGAAATGCGAGAATAATTCGACATGTAACATGAATATAAATTGACTGGCGAGGCAACTCTTTGCCCAACCGTCTCTCTCGCTCTTAACAAAACCCTTCCCCAGTTCGCAATTTTTCTTGGGCATTCGAAGTTGTTCGATCTCCGCACGAAACCAAAGTATGGAAATGTAATGCCGGGAGCATTTTGGCGAGATTCTACTGTAACAATTGGGAACTGGCGGAATGTTAACTGACGCTTCAGTATTGACGTTAATAAGTGCATTGGTTATTAATCGTTTAGAAGGACTAGCATGTAATCTTATTCTGCTAGCTGTACACTCTTGCCCAGGGACGGGGGCTACTCCCTTATAAATGGGCTACACAGGTATGTGCGGCCCCAAAGGGCACGCTTTTGGTCTGAAGAAGGGTATAGATTTTGACCGTTTTGGTCTAGAAGAAGGTATTTTTTTCACTCTTGCTTGGCATTGCGTACTTTGTTTACTAGGAACTATTTTTTCCCGCATCAACATTGGCAAAGTTGTAGCCCTACTCAAATGTTTAGGCAAATGGAAGCTAATTCTGGTAATTTGCGGTGATATATTAGAGCTGCGCACTAATATTACTGGTCTGAAATGGGGTTCGCTCAGGTCTGAAATAGGATATGGAAAATCATAGATTTTGGTCTGAAATAGGGTTCAGGTTTAAAGGTCCGGACCGCACACCCCTACCAAAAACGTTGAGGAGTACACCCCCGGGCACTTTACACACAAAATACCTTTAAGTATCCACAGTCAACACAGTCGGTACTAAGGAGACATGAAGTCTTCATTTCGTTCAATGTTCCTTCTTTTGGTGGCTTACCTCTCCCTTACTGCCAAAGCCTTTCTTCCCAGAATTAATTTGGCATCGGGGGAATCGGAAACGAAAGATCATACATTAATCACAAGAAACGGACTGCTGAAGACAACAATACACTTCATCTGGGACAATCCGCATTATCTCAAGAATGAGGAACTGACAGACGTTCTTTATGATGTCTTACGTGAATTGTCAGAGAAGCCAAACGCGGCCAAAACTACCATTGACACTATCTCTTCGCAGATCAAATTCATCAACGCCATCAACGAGATTCAGAGCGCCAATGTGGAAATGGACTCCTCTCCATCGAATAGTACCGCTGCTGTCCATTTTGACGGCGAGCAGTTCTTGCAGGGATCTCAGCGGCTCATTAGACTGCGCCAACAGCTTATAACATTGCTTTTAAAAGGCGATAAATTACAACATGCAAAGAGCTTGGCTGGGAAAGCCTTACACACACTGCAGGATTTTTACAGCCGCTCCAACTGGATAGAACTCGGCAATACATTGCCGTTTAATACTCTGGGCCAACCCGGAAGTGTTATTTGGCAGGAAATTATCATTGCTGGCAGAGCAGAACCAACTTGTAGGGACTGTCTTTCAGAGGAAGAATCCAATCTGTCCACTGATACATGTGCAAATAACTTGATCACGGTAAAACTCACCAGCGGATATCGCTCAGGACAAGACATCAAGAAGCCTGTTCACATTGGAAAATGTAGTTATGGCGGCCAAACGGACGACAGTCGCCTAAAGCCAGCTACCGGTGGAATTAACAAAGATTCCTCCTCCAAGCGTGAGTCACCGCATGCCAGGTAAAGGATAGAAAGAAAAACATGATAATTTCTTTGGCATCCGAAATCTTTACCAGTTTCTACATCACATAAAGCACAATAAAGGATAGCTTTACGCCTGATAAAAATATCCTGAATGAACTACCTCGTTTGCTTTAGGGGCAATTCCTTTAATTTCAGAAGGAAATCGTAGACCACAGAAAAATTACACAATATGTGACGTTTAGACAGTTACTGTGAGTTCATTAGGTACTCGTTGTAAAAAGATACTAAAGTGAAGCAGTAAGTTCAAAGTTTTCACAGGAAATAAGTATTGCATTGCATGCCTTTGTAATAGGCCATTGTCCTATAAGCTCTTATGTAGACCTTTCACACTATTTTTGGCGCCTCCGGTTTAGGTTTGATAATCCATCTGTAAACCGTAGTCACACAAACACCGCTTACGCCAACGCTATTTACAATAACTGCTATGTTATAAATTTCTTGCGCGAAACCAGAATCACGTCACAGAGACATGATAAACTCGAAGGGTCTTTCAACATAGTCGAGGCCGTTAGTCCGTAGCGCCGTAGCTAGACTTACATAACACAAAGCAAGTCTTGCAAGGGCCGAAGGGGCGGGCCTCTACAGGTCTGTGGGGATATGCCATGCCTCGGTCAAAAATGAAAATTCGTGGGGCAGTTAAGCACCCCAAGAAAATTTCCAAAAATCGAACGCATTGGAACGGTTTTGTAACCCTTTGGTAGTAATTTTCTGCCTCAAAATGGACATTGAATGAACAAAATGCGCGAGAAATAATTATTTCACTGTGAGAGCGTAACATTAACTTTTTTGTGCGTGCGGCTTGAGAGCTCTGAAGATGACACACTTTTATTGCTCACAACCTATTAGGCCGTGCGTGTGTTAAGTTGATGGATTTGCCGTTTACCGGCGTCCCTTTGTACACACCCTCCTTCTCAATGATGGCTCGAATGGAGCCACTCTAGTCTTTTCAAAGGTAAATATTAATATGCTTGGAGCTTGTTAAACAAATTAATATTTGTGTCCGAACTACTTGTGTTTGTTGAATCATATGCGTACGAGGACGGAAATTCTATAAGTTTTGCTTTACGTGCACTTTTAGAGGCCTTGGTATTGCTATTTATGAACTCAGCCTTCGAAATTCTTTACAACATTTAAATAATTTTTGTGAACATTTGCCTAAAATATTATTTGTCTTTTCCCTTTAGTTCACTCACTACACCTGGGTTAGCATTCAACATGACGCAAAGGGAAACATTTGAAAGTTATCTGGAATTAGTTTTTCAACTAACGATACTTTAAAATGTCGGGATAAAATCTATAGATAGACGAGGCAAGTGTCTCGTCTTGCCTTTTGCAAGCACGGGCCAAAACTGTTCTGCTCAAACTCTGGAAAGCGACAGAAAACGTATAGATGCAATCAGAAACGAATTGAAACTCTGTACTTGACAGAATTTTGACCTCGACAGTCTCGCACCACTTTTGAGAGATTTTTTGAGCAGTCCGCCATCTTGAATTTTGCATGAGGTTTTATTCACTGCAATACACCTAAGAATACGCACTGGAATAACCAAGATTTTTTAGTTTATGGTTTCACTTTCGTTTGTTCTTGAACATACCTTACTGTGGTTGTGTGTTGCACACTAATATGGACAGTTTAGACAGAGGAGATTCTATCGCCATGAAGGCCCGAATCATTTTGGAAGAAAACGCAAACATAAAGGTGTTTCGTAACCACTAAGCCCAGACAACCGATAACGAAATATTGATGGTTTAAACTTCTCTCTGATTGGTAGAAAGAAACCAAACATTACAGATATGTGAAGATATGATTGATTATCGCAGTTACACACGCAACTTTTAAAGCAGTTGTGAAATTAAAGCCTGAAAAAAATACAGGCCTAGAGATTCGAACCCATGACCCCTGCGATACCGGTGCAGTGCTCTACCAACTGAGCTTTCAAGCCAACTGGGAGCTGGTCACATTGTGAGTTCGCAACATACCCGTAGATGGTGAAGAATACAATGGTAAATATATGAAAGACCATATCTTTCTCCGCAGATCTTGTACTGACGTGCTCTGTAATTTTCCCATGCCTCATTACACAAGTTTCAGGTTGCTCCAAGACTCACCCTACATGTCAACCGTTTCATTGTAATCTTGCCCACGTACTGTTTTGCCGTCTTATTTTATTGTTTTTAGCATTCTTTTTGTATCTTTCCAAAGTTGCAGTGGAGAGGTTCTCAATGGTGTTGTTTAAATCTCAGTTATGATTAAAACTTTGGTGATTTCTCTCAGCTACCATTTAAAAATTGAGCTCACTTCTTAGCTATCGGTGAATTTTGGAGATGTTGGATCTCAGTAATCAGTTTAGAAAGGCCTCATTTCTCATTGGACAGTTCGAATTTTGACCAATTCTGTGCTATCAGTCAAACCCCATCCACACCCTCAAAGGACAATGTGGTAGGTGCAAGAGGTTTATTTCGTTGAATGAACGGTCTTTTCGGGTGTTAAAACCATGCTAATTAACCAATCATTGCCCCTAAAAGCACGACCTTTAACTTGCACCATAGTACATAGGATTTGTGCAGTGAGTCAGCAATATAGGAATCTTATTCTTTCCCGTCTTTACTACAGCCTCCATAAAATTGCCGCTGACATAGCCATCGAAGCTACCAGTGTCTTTCTAGGTGACATTCGTTCAGCAGTTGGCGACGACATCTTCGCCAAATTTCTGAACCTGAAGTCTGAGAAGAGCATGGCTTTGGTGATAGATATATCAGGCAGCATGACTGGTGAGCCGTTATGTCGTTCAGTGATGTTTGTTTATCCGTTGGACACTGAGATTTTGTACTCAATATTTTTCCTCATTTCTTTCATAATTAATCGTATTTTAGAGTGTCCTCTATTTTATTATTATTATTATTACTATATTATTATTATTATTGAAGATATAGTTATTTTTGATAATAGCTGTGAACTGAATACTGGTCTAAAATAATTATAAGGGAGTATAAGGGGCTACGAGTTGACGATCTTAGCTCTACTTGCTCTTAATAGCAGCTAATAGCTAATACGAGTTGACTGACGTGAGTGCGTTTTGTTGTGAAGAAATGTGTGCAAAAATGTGAGTAGTAATTGGACAGTGGTTTGTCTCAATAGTTTTCAAAGTAACACACACAGAAAACTTTTACCTTGAAAACAAAACGGAAGAAAACAACAACAAAGCCTTAACTCATAAAGGTTTGTTGATCATGCTAAAGACCTAATCGACTAAAGAATAAAACCTCAGTGAGGGGTGTCAAGATTTGACCAAATTTTGGATCCAAAAACGTCCTGCTAATTAGTCCAAACTCTGACCTGAGAGAGATCCAGTGGATCAGAAAATATCTTAAGCCAGAAAAGTCATTTTTATCAGTAGAAAATAGGAAAACTCCTATCCATTTGTATTCATTGTATATTTGTTAAAGCAACTAACTCAGTTGTTTCACATTAAAGTGTGAGCGCTGGTTTATGCTTGTTGCATGTGAACCCGGGAGGAGGGATGTATTCCCCAAAGCTTTTGGAAGGGGTGTACAGCCCGAACCTTGAAACCCTTACCCTATTTCAGACCAAAATCTGTGATTTTCCATACGCTATTTCAAATCTGAGCCAAAAATCAATACCCCATTTCAAATCTCTAAAATTAGTACACGGCTCTAATATATGACTGCAGCTAACCAGAGATGGCTTCCATTTGCGTAAGCATTTGAGAAGGGCAACAAATTTGCAAATGTTGATGCGGAATATATTAGTTCCATGTGAACTAAATACCCATGCCAAGCCAGAGTGAGAAATATACTACTTCAGACCATAACGGTCAAAATCTATGCCTATTTTCAGACCAAACAGCTCAAAAACCATACCCTTTGGGGCCGCACATACCTATGTAGCCCATATAAAAGAGTACCCGTCCGTGTTGCGAACCTCCCAAAAAGCCCTTATTATTCATTTCGATTTCAAAAACGTTACGATAGTTACGAACTCCCAAATAGTCATCAGAACGCAAATTTAAATTCCGAAAACGCCTCAGCTACTCCGCGTCACCATTATAGCTGAGCTAAATTACCCAATACAATGTAGGGTGATTTTAAACTTTGGTGTACTATATTTCGGCTAGCCAAATATGGTACACTGAGTTTTAATTATAAAATCATCTTACGCTGTATCTGTCTCCACTTATATAATCTTCACTTTCCATCTTAAGATGATTAGATTACTGTTGATCCAACGTATGCCAGCAGGGTCATCGTTCGCGGTTTCGTACTTAAG